GCCTGGGATGGAGATGGGGGAGCTTCCTTCTGGGTGCTCCAGGATCTGTGTTTATGAATAAGATTCCTGTGTGACTCTTCCATTAAAGCTGCTGTAAGCATGTACAAGTCTTCATGTAGGCACATTCTTTCATTTCTCTTGGGTATATACCTAGGAATGTAATACAGAATTGTATGAGAAATGTGTTTAACTTTTATCTTCGTCAGGTTTTAATGTCAAGCCCACTATTAATCAACCTGCTTTACACTGTTGCCTCTCTAAAGAAACTCTTTAGATAATTTTTTCCTAATTACTCTCCCATGGAACTTTAATACTACATTTTCATAAAGTATCTATGTCCTATAGACTGTTTGGTTTTGTTTGGTTTGGTTTTTTTGAGACAGCGTCTTGCTATGTAGTTCATGCTAGTCTTGAACTCACTGTGTAGCTCAGGCTGGCCTCAAACTCACAGTGATCCTCCTACCTCAGCCTCCTGGGTGCTGGGATTACAGGCATGCACCACCACAAAAGAGTAAATTTTTTTTATTCCCTCAGGAGTCAATATTGACTTGTTAATAATCCATGGTTTAGCCTTATAAAATAGATTGGACTGTGTTTTTTCAGAAATAAATTGGTTATCTTTTTTGGATATAAATTAATTTTTACTTATGAGAAATGACTGACGTAAGTTATATTTATTTCTTGATTTTAGTTAAGGAAAATTTTGGACAAACCCATCAGTCTACAAAGAGAACATCAAGAACCTGAGCAACAGCCCCACCACCAAAAAAATCTTAGTGTGATTTTAAAAAATTGTAATCCTGGGCCGGAGATTTAGCTCAGTGATTTCACTGCCTGCTGTGCAAGCACAAGGACATGAGTTCGATCCCCGGTACCAAAAAAAAAAAAAAATTGTAATCTTCTACTTTATAATAGTTAATTAAGTATTAGCTTTTACCTGAATTTGTCCAAATACATTAAAACATATATAGATTCCCATTGTAAAAAAGATCAAATTGTGCGTGGACACATCACAAAAACTGGGGAGGGAGAAAAATTAATCACCCAAAATCAGCAATATACTGAATGTATTAATGTTTAAATAATCAGACTTCAAAAGTCATAATGAGCCATATGCAGTAATCCCATCTACTGAGGAGGCTGAGGCAGGAGGACTGCAAGTTGGAGGCCAGGTGGACTGTTTAATGAGACATTGTCTCAAAAAAATTTGTTTTTTTAAATCTAAGATAAAGAAAGGGCTGGGAATACAGCTCAGTGGTGGAGCACTTGCCCAGCACATTTGATGCCCTGAGTTCAATTTCCCAATGCCACAAAAAAATAAAATCACATTGGGAGCTGAGGATGTAGCTCAATGGTAAAACAGTCGCCTATCATATAAAAGGCCCGGGGTTTGATTTCCAGTGCTAAAAAAAAAAAAAAAAAATCACATTCAGACTATACATACTTCTTCACAAATATATTTAGAATTCCTCTCTTAGAGAGTTCTTTAGGATCTGTGTCACACTATATCAAATATAACCAATTCTCACGGAATTTAACATCTTGATCTGAGGAAATATTATACACATAAGAATATGTATACTGGGAATTTAATGAGAAATAACCGAAGTAAGGCAAATGTGTACAGTATATAGATGAAACTATATCACAGTGTTATTTTAAACAGCAAAACTGGATACTATCCCTGTGTTTAAATTATTATAAATGGTATCTGTACTCTGGAAGATTATGTAACTTTAAAAAGTACTATTACAAAGTCTGTATAGGAATGTAAAAAACTCAGCTGGGCATGGTGGTGCATGCCTGTAATCTTAGCACGGAGGAGGCTGAGGCAGGAGGATTGCCATTAAGTTCCAGGGCAGCCTGGGCTACATAGTGAAAAAAAAAGATGAAAAAGAGATGGTAACTTAAAAAATAGGGCTGGGGATGTGACTCAGTGGTAAGGCAATTGCTTAGGAATGTAGAAAAATCATCCTGTTATGATATTAAATTTTAAAAAGCCAGAGAAAAACTTGTACATAGATTGGAATTATGGCTGTAAAAAAAAGTATGTTAATAAAAAGTACTGCAAAGAAATATAGCAATATGTTCAATGTGATTTTGATATGTAGATAGTATTTTGGGTTTTTAATCTCAGAAAAAATGGTATAATTCTTATGTTTATATAATATTCATTCTCTTGAGGACCAAACGCAAAATATAATTGAGACTAAATTTCTCAACTCTTAAAATCTTTGAAAATAATCGCAAAAGGGGAGCTCTAAACAGGATTTGAGACTTTTCAAGTATGTGCTTACCATGACATTAAATTAAATACTTTATGTGAAAGCATTTTGTAAACTGCATTTTTTTTGGGGGGGGGGGTATCAGGGCTCAAACTCAGGACCTTGAACTTGTGAGACAGCCATGGCACCACTGAGCTAAATCCCTGGTCCATGTAAACTGTATTTAATGTATCATAAGGAACATCATCTGTCTTTTTTTGATTATATTGTTTTTATGTTTAAATTCCTGATTTTTATAATCACATAAACATGAAATTATGTTTACAAGTAAAAACAGACATCACCAATTTTATTTAGTTTAACCTAATAAAAGAAATGTACATGAATGAAATGTTTCCTGCTTTTTATTGGCTTTTAAACATGATAGAAAATATAGCAAAATGTTATACAAGTACATTTGTGGTTGGTTTTATTACTAACAGTAGTTCTATTTCAGTCTCATAATGAAGACCTGGATAAAGATACACCATCACAAAACTGCCTAGAGAGAAATGCGGAACACATAACAGACAGGTTGGGGATGGCCCAGGAGGAGATCCAAAGGCTCACTCATAAACTACAAATGAAGGAGAAAGAACTGAGTAACTTAGGTAAGCTGTGATTTCACATGACCATTTCTGGCCATGTTTTAACTTCACTGATCTTTTCTCAAGGTGGAACGTAAGTATACTGAGAAAAAAAATCTTTTAAGATGAACACTTAAAAGTTTGAAGAACAAGGCCCGGGGATTTAGCTCAGTGGTTCCAGTGCCTACCTCGCAAGTGCAAGGTCCTGAGTTCGATCCCCGGTACCAAAAAAAAAAAGTTTGAAGAACAGCCTCATTTTCCACAGGGTCCAGAAATTTTCACTGAAGCATAAGCTAATATATCTACTAAAGAGTACAAAACTCATAAATGTATACCACTTACCACAAGAAATTCCCAGCATCCCAGATGCCTCCTTTTTTTCTTATCACTAGCTCAACCCAAAATTACCACCATCCAGACTTTGAGCACTACTTCTGGGTTTTGACTATATTCAGTATGCATTCTTTGGTTTACTTCTCTTGCTCAATCTTGTCTTCATGAGATTCATTCGTGTTGTTGCATGTAGCAGTTTGTAACTCTTGGTGTTTTTATAATCTTCCATTAATAAACATATTACAATTTGTTTTCCATTCTACTCGATAGACATTTGTGCTATTTCCTACTTGGGTCTATCATGAGTTCTCATTCTATGAATGTTTTTGTACATACCTTTTGGTGTACTTATCTACATATTTCTAATTAGGAGAAGAATAGAATTACTGAGCTGAGTGCAGTAGCATACACCTATAATCCCAGGTACTCTACAGGCTGAGGCAGGAAGATCCAAAGTTCAAGGTCAGCCTGAGCAATTTAGTAAAACCCTGTCTCAAAAATAAAAAGGACTGGGGATATGGTTCACTGGGAGAGTATCTCTGGATTCAATTCCCAGTACCACACACACACACAAATAGGATTACTAGATCAAAGATTATAGACATATTCTAATGTAGCCTTGCAAAGTACAGTCACACACCACTTAACAATGGGGATTTGTCCTGAGAAAGTGTCATTAGGTGATTTCCTAATTGTATCAACATCATATAGTGTGCTTATAAAAACTAAGATGACTATGACTTCACTAGGCAATACAGTTTTCCAGACCACCATCATATATGTGGTCCACTGTTGATTAAAACATCATTTTGCAGCACATAACTGTAATTGTACTAATTTAAGCTTTCCTCAGTAGTCCACAGGATATGGGCTGCTCCACACTGTCAGTTCTTGGTATTGCCAGTCTTTATCTCTTGTGGTACATAGTGGTGCTCAGTCTCTGATGCCTAATGAAGTTAGCAAGTTGGTTGTTGCTCGCCTGGATGTACTGTTTTGTGAAGTTCCTCCCCTAGACTCTTATATATTTTTCGATTGTGTTGTATTTTGGTTTTGTATGCATCGTTATTCTGAATATGAGCCTTTTTTGAGCCTTTTGTTGGCTATAAAAGTTATTTTTTTCCATGCAGGAATGCTAATATTTGTTTAACCAAGTCATCCTTTTGTACCTTCTGGGTTTTCATGTGTAGTCTCCCCTCCCCTCCCCTCCTCTTCCTCTCTCTCTCTCTCTCTCTCTCCCTCTCTCTCCCTCTCTCTCTCCCTCCCTCCCTCTCCCTCTCCCTGTCCCTCTCCCTCCCTCCCCTCCCCCCTCTCTTCCCTTCTTCCTCCCCTCTTTCTTTTTTCTATCAGTCCTGGTGGCTGAGTCCAGGAATGGCACATGCCAGGTAAGTACTCTGCTACTGAACTGCATTCCTGGCTCACATGTGTAAAGTCTTTTCTTCACTACAAAATTATTGAAAATGTTTGCTCCTGTTGTGCCCAGATTACGAAGTCCCAAAGACCACCAGGAGGCCGTTTCCGATGTAAGCACGCGAGGGTGGTTTATTCAAGCTTAAGCAGGGACTCTCAGTTGTCACCGACACAGCGGATCGAGATTGAGAACCCTGAATTCCAAATTAGCAGGGTTTTAATTGAGATTACAGCAAGCTTTGGTCATTAGCAGCCATATGATTGGTTAACATTTAGCAAGTATGAAGTGTAGAATTTTGATTGGCTAGGCTCATTGGGGGTTGAAGGGGATTACGTATAGGTTTTTACAAGAAAAATGGGGACAAAGGTTAG